ACAACCTCCACTGTGTTCTTTCCTTCCATTTCACTGATACCAGTCCTAGGGATCCTGCATCCACTCACAACCTCCACTGTGTTCTTTCCTTCCATTTCACTGATACCAGTCCTAGGGATCCTGCATCCACTCACAACCTCCACTGTGTTCTTTCCTTCCATTTCACTGATACCCGTGCCGTTCCTACCTCCGATGGGGACCTTCCTCCCCAGTCTATAGACTCCCCACCCACTGTTTCTGAATTCTGGGAGTTGAGGTCCATATATCTTAAAGTAGCCAAGGTTAAGATACATTGCCTGAAACGAATCCAGGAATCCTGGACTTCCGAGCAGAGCAAAACCCAGAAAACAGGGCCTTTGCAAAGTTTACATATTCCTACCGAGAGCTTGATAAACAAGGCATCCCAGAGGAACAAATTAAACGAGATCTGTGTTTTTCTAAACTTTTCGTTTCTCAGACTGAGCCAATGGCAGCAGCTAACAAAATAAAAAAAAAAGTAATAATAAAATAAAACTGGAAAGATTTTGAGAACGACATTAAGCAACATGAAAAGAACTAACAAGAAAAAAAGAAGAAGAAGCAGCAAGCATAAAAAATCCACAGCAGAGCTGAGAATTTTCCAGGAAAGCAAAGAGAACAAAATGTGATTAAAACTATCTCCAATCTGGACGGGAGCCAAAAAGCTGCTAGCAATACTTGATCATCAAACACTCTTTTCCTTTCCTTTCCTTTCCTTTCCTTTTTTTTAAAAAAAAGGATGTGCGATGCGCTACGCAGCATAACGCAAATCCTATTTGGCAGATTTTTTCCCCTAATTAGAACAATTGGTTTTAGCCCAGATGGGAATTTCTTTTAAGTACGGGTTTAAGAAAGCAGAATCTCTTTCTGCTTTTAACTCCCAAATATCTTGACCCGTAGAAACCCCTATCATTTTTTTATGAATCATAATATTCCTAATAATAATAATAATTAAGAATGAGGTAGTCACTCTTCTCTGTTGAGTTGCTTTAAATCTATACAAAGAACGGTTGCTAGAATTGGGTATGTCTAGTTTAATGAAAAGAAGGATGAGGGGGGACATGATAGCAGTCTTCCAATATCTCAGGGGCTGCCACAAAGAAGAGGGAGTCAAGCTATTCTCCAAGGCACCTGAAGGCAGGACAAGAAGCAACGGGTGGAAACTAAGCAAGGAGAGAAGCAACCTAGAACTAAGGAGAAACTTCCTGACAGTGAGAACAATTAAACAGTGGAACAACCTGCCTCCAGAAGTGGTGAATGCTCCAACACTGGACGTTTTTAAGAAGAGACTGGACAGCCATTTGTCCGAAATGGTATAGGGTTTCCTGCCTGAGCAGGGGGTTGGACTAGATGACCTCCACGGTCCCTTCCAACTTATTATTATTATTCTGTTCTGTCCTGTTAAAATCTGCTTTCCCCGGAAGCTCTCCCAATATAAAGATAAATTTTCATTCAATTCGACATAGCTCCTGGTCCAGGTCATTTTGTGAGGCGGTGACAGGTGGGAAGCAGAGGTCCAAAAAGCAAAAAAAGAGGTCCCAGACATGCTCAATCATTGTGGTTTCTGAAATGCGGTGCTGTAGATCTCCTCAAGGCTCCTAAAACTGGTTGCAAAATCCTCCCCCCTCCACTACAGGAGGTAGAAAGGGGAAATGATGGGTCCTTGGAGCTCTCTGAGCTTGGTTGTTTTCTTGCAGATGTTTCATTACCCAATTAGGTAACATCATCAGTGCCAGAAGGGAATGGGTTTAGAAAGTGGAATGGGAGGAGGAGGAAGAGGAGGAGGAGGAGGAGGAGGAGGAGAATGACTGTGGGGTCCTTGGTGCTCTCTGAGCTTGATTGTTTTCTTGCAGATGTTTCATTACCCAACTAGGTAACATCATCAGTCCTAGCAATGAAGGAACATCTGCAAGAAAACAACCAAGCTCGGAGAGCACCAAGGACCCCTCATTTCAACCCCGAGCTGCAAATATTCTCCTTTATTAGAAAGGGGAAAAAGTGCTAGGAGGACAAGAATGGGTGGTGAGATGGCTTGTCAAGAGAAAACGAAAAACAGATGGTGTGTATTTTGGAAAAAAAAACAAAAAACCAGCAAAGGTTCCAGGGCTTTTACAAAACTTATCTGAGTTTTAACAGCAAGCCATCCAGATTTATTTGGCCAATGCTATCCATTATATCAACAAATGCATCTTTCAACTGAGATCGGCTGAGATAGGATGAAAATTTGGCGGTGGACAATGGGGACCAGAACATAGTTGGGTCATGAAATGTCTGCAAGAAAACAGCCAAGCTCAGAGACCACAAGGACCCCACATTCTTTTTCCTTCTCCTCCTTCTCCTTCTCCTTCTCCTTCTCCTCCTCCTCTTCCTCCTCCTCCAACCTAACTCCCTTCTAGCACTGATGCTGTTACCTAGTTAGGGTCATGAAACGTCTGCAAGAAAACAACCAAGCTCAGAGAGCACCAAGGATCCCACAATCCTCCTCTTTCTTCTACTGCACCATCTTCTTTTCTATCTGTCCCAGCTTTGGTTGACATCCTTTCCCCCCCCCCCCAACTGCCCCCTTATCTGAACATCTCATAAAATAATGCCTGTCTTCTATCTCTCATTTTTAAAAAAATGTTTTGCAAGGGAGCAGCACTCCTTTGATGTAAATTATTAGCTGCACATGGCACTTTGCACCAATCAGCCAAGACAAGAGTGGGAGGGCAATCTTCGAGAGACAAGGAGTTATTAATGAACTTCAGTTCTCCTTCTCAACATCAACGCGAGGATTCGGTGGTGCTGTTGCAAAACCTGAATCCTAGAATAATTTTTTGAGAACACCCAGATTTGAAGGAGAGATTTGTGGTGCAAAGAGAGGCAAAACAGAGGGGTTTTTTTTGTCACGGATTTTCAGTGAACTGAACTGAAGAAGATTCTTGGACGAAAAGTAAAATGTTTTCAAATGGAAAAAAAAAATCCCAAGAAAGTTCAGTTGCCTTTTGGGGGAAAAAAAAAGCACCTTTGGGACTGGAGATTGAGAATCTCCATAAAGATGTGATGACATATTTATAAACTGAGCTGTGTACCAGGAGATTAGGAGGACTCTTCTTCTGGGATGTCTCCAATCTAGGAGACTCATCTACCATAGGTTTAGTGGGTGCCAATTTGTGTCATCTTTGCAAAGCCCCCCCTGAAACTGGGTTCTTCTATAGGACCTTTGGAAGTAGAAGTAGCTCCATTGTTGGGTTAGCCCAGGGGTAGGCAACCTCGGCTCTTTTATGACTCATGGACCTTCAACTCCCAGAATTCCTGAGTCAGCTGACTCAGGAATTCTGGGAGTTGAAGTCCATGAGTCATAAAAGGTGTTGACTATCATCTTCAAAGCGCTCCATGGCATCGGACCCGGATACCTTCGAGACCGCCTCCTGCCGCAGATTACCTCCCATCGACCTGTACGCTCCCACAGAGTGGGTCTCCTCAGGGTGCCGTCGGCCAGACAGTGCCGGCTGGCGACCCCAAGGGGGAGGGCCTTCTC